TTCGATTACAGAATCAGAGCGATAAACGTTAGTTTTTGAGATCTATTTCGCAATCATGATCACAAAAAAATGAAAAATCGATGGATAAAATCAAAATACGAATAGCATTCTGCCAATATTATTCTTGATTTTTCAAATAAATTATAATTTATTTCCTAGTAAGAGATTGTCATATGAAAACACGCCTATCTGACTAGAAATTATGATAACCTGTCCAGTTCTATCTACTTATGATTAACAGATGTAACATAAAATATATTACCTAATTCTAAAACTAAGGAATAGTAAAAGAGAAACACACCAATATACTCGTGTCACAATTCTTATACATAATATATGAGTACGTACTGAATACATTTTATGATAGAAATCGAATAAATAATTATGTAAGTATTCAAATGTTATAAATATTGACTTCTATCAAAACATTGATTCGAATGAAAACTTTTTATATGTTACTTTTTTAAAATCAAGTAATGATAACTTGTGATATTGTATGAAATATGAAAAAATTTATATCTTAATTTTATATTAATTTTAATCGTGAATATTTTTATGAAATAATTATGTATATTTTTCAAGAAAATAATATTATTCGAATAATATTATAATTTTGATATTATTATAATTTAATAATTTAATAATAAGATTAATAATACAATTATTTATAATTTGTAATATTTTACAGCGAATATAATATTGTGAATTATAAATTGTAATAAAATTAATAATATTGAATAAAATAACAATCGCGACTCAATTCCATAGCTTAATCACGTATATGTGAACAATATGTGCAAATAAAAAATTATTGTAACTTATGAGTCTTATAACGTAATACATAAATAATAAATAAATGAGTAAATAAATAAAAATCCAATCAATCGAAAGAAATAAATAGTTGAATGAAAAATTTGATAGTTAAAAGTGTCGATAAGCTAGGAAATTTCAGTAAACAAAGTAACCAACAGTTGTTATAGACGTATACTCGCAGAATAGCCGATAGATGTCGAAATAATTCCTATAACCTATTTTACCCTTTCACCCTACTACTAGAACGAATCGTAATGGCCCATAAATCCTGGCTTTTTTTCGTAGGCACCGCGTCTTTTTTCTTATTTTCGACGAAGCGAGTGTGAATAATCGAAGAATTATCTCTCCAACTCGCAATTAGGCCACCACGGAAGAATTCTTTTTCTCGGAGCTATCGTCTTGGAACTGTTTCTCCCTTTCGAGTCGATCATTCGCGTAATAACTCGTGTACATTTATGAATTATTCACCGTTCTTTTTTTTCGTCTATTTACCTACCATGACTATACTGTATATAAAATATAGACGTTAAATTTAAGATTAAATCTCTTCAATTATTATTCGTTTACGTTATATCATTTTTCTCTTTCACAATTCTCCTCAATTTCATTAATAAAAAAAAAAAGCAAATATATTCAAAAACAAATTCGTTTATTTCGGTTTAAGACGAAAGATAATTTCGCGCAATTACAATTACGTTATGTAATTATCAATTATACACGAAATAATCGAAAGGATTAAAAATCATCAGGATCGATCTCGTCACAGTGTTTAAGAAAAAGGAAAAGAAGTTGCCAGATTCTTGGAGCAATTACTCGGTTTCGTTAAGCGGTCACGAAATCTCAAATCGGTGAGGCCTAATCTGCGGCCCAGAATAGGAAGTGGTTCATCGATAGCTCGCACCTTCGGTCAGGCCGGTCGTACAACCCGCTAATTTTCCTAATAGATTAAGCATCGGAAGAGGTTGTCATTTGGCTGGCACGCTAAGTGAGCCGAGGCAGCGTGCACCATTGTTTCACAAACAAAAGACGGCCGCTTTGCGAGTCATGGCGGCGTTCTTTGAACGCCCCTCGACCAATCGGCGGCCGCTTTTAGCGGGCGCCAAGTACAAAAGAAACCGGCCGGGGATGATTGAGATTTTCTATGTGAACCAAGTCGGTGATTTCTATGCGAAGCACCGTGTGCCGCTTCACGCGATAGAATCGGCTGGGAAATACCGCGACAGATTGGAAATAATTGCGAGGAATAAAAGAGAGAAATGGCACAAAGATTGATGAACTGTTGGAAAAGTGATGAAAAAGGACCACCTGAAAGATCATCGATGTTATCGCGAAAGATAGAAAAAGAAATAAACTATCCTCTTGAAATGCTCACTTCAAACCGAAGAAATACAAAATTATCGCGTTTAAACCGTGAACGACTTTTTCCATCGTAAGAATTAATTAAATATAAACCGGCCAACGATTCTATTCACCAACCGCAATAATAAAATATTACGAGCTACGAAATGGCGTTAGAGAAAAATTATGATTTAAAATAATCAATCGAATAAAATTTAGTTTAGCAAAGAAAGGTGTCAAAGATATGATATTACAATCATATTATAAAGATAAAAATTGATATATATAATTTATAAAATTCTAAAAAATTTATAAATTAGAAAGATAGATTGTTGGAATCTTTTAAAAAAGTTTAGGAGCAGGATTCAGCCGCGTCATCGACGGTTCCTTTAGTTTTGCCAGTTTTTCTAACTCGCCCACCATCGACCTTAAAGGAGGTCCTGGAGATCGCTAATTGATTAATCATCCTCCTCCTTCTCTGTCCATCCACCTCTTTCCATTCCCCCCTTTCTTTCCCTTTTTCTTGATCGCTCTGAGTCCAAGTCATCTTGTCCTTGAACAAAGATCGAGGACGATCGAGCAAAAAGATATTCTTGAAAAACGGTCGGTTCCTTCGAATTCGGTCACCGTACGATATTTACACGAGGAGCACGAAAAAAAAATCCACTAGTTTCTAGTTCCTAGATTCTCTGTTCACGAACGCAGAGGTCATCTCGGTGCTCTCGATCGATGACCAAGACATATATAGATTGAATTTTCATCGTCGAAACTTATCATGGAGGCGAGGCGCGCCGGTGGCAGCGCGAGGCCGATTTGCATTTAAAATCGACGCGAAATGAGCGCGAACGGGCCCGACTACTCTGCAATTAACTCGATAAGATTTACAACTTCATGTATCCGTGGTGTCTCGCAATGGATCGCGTTACCTCTAGCTGGAAACCACGGCTCATCGACGACGAGAGCCAAAACGAATCGAGCCGAAATCACGTGCAGCCACTTGTTCTCGCGAAATTGGACCACCGATCGAGAATTTCCACGAAGGGCCGTGATTTATCCTTTGTGATTCGAAAGAAGGAGAAAAGGGAGAAAAAAGAAGAGGGGAAGAAAGGATATTTTTCTTTGGAAAGTGCAGAAACCGCGCCGGCTCGAGATATTAAGAGGCTTCGAATTTACGCGCGCATAAATTTCACTCCACCTTCCAGTTGGAGAAGAACGATTCCGCGTAACTTTTGTGTGTGGCTACCGTATGTTTTTTTTAAACAATTATCTTCTAATAATGGATTTAACATTTGAATATTTCTTTACAAAAAAAAAAGTACTATCTATTATTACTTTGCTATTTCTATCTAATTTATTTTCCGTTAAAATGATATTTTCTAGAAGAAAATTATATTTTTTAGAAATTCTTTTTTATATTCGCGAATAATCGATAGATTGAGAAAGAAAAATTTCCTTTGTCCCCGAGGAAGGATCGTTGACACGCTTGATCCCTCTTCAATGGTTTTGAGCATCGTGGCATGGCGGTAACAGCTTCAAGAGCTAATTAAATCAAAGGTTGCCGCCGCTGGCCGGTAATAAAAGTAAGAACACGTCTAGGGATATGCATTATAGATGGACGCAGCAATCAAATAAAAAGCTTTCAGAACGGAGATAGACACAATGGCCTGTTCGATGTTTCTCGACTCAGCCGGCTCTCCGTCCTGTCGTAAAAACACAGATTCTTTTTAATTAACGTTAAAAGGGAATCTAGAAATCGTGAGGTTGCGCGGGAACGAAAGTTTAAAAATTTAGCAACAATGTTCAATTCGTCGCATTGTACTTCATTTTTATTTTTTTAAAAAAAAGAGATAATTTCGTGCTTTCGAAACTTAATACAACGATTATTCTATTCATCAATCCTGTATAAATAACTCAAATTCACAAAATATGTAGAAACAATGTTGCTGGAAGATTTAATAGGGATTCTTGGTTTATTGCATCAAAGATTATCACGATACTCTTCACGCTGTTATTCAATCATTTTCCAAAGATTTTCCTAAGATATCTTTTTGTTATTTGTTTTGTTCTTTTTTGGCAAATATATTTGCATTAATTTTATTCGAGTGTATTAGTTTTATTTAACCAACTCAAAAGGATTCAAAAATAAAATTGATGAAACAAAAGGAAGATGGACGAGGTGTAACAATTTGTCACGATATGTGTCACAGGCGACAAGGGTGCGATATTCACCAAGGCAAAAACGAAAGAATCTGCTAACGACTTTGGAGAACGAGCTCTAATGGTGAAACATTCGTAAGCTTTAAACTTCTGATAAGTACAAAAAACAGACTAATTTTGTGGCGAATAAAACATCCTTAAAACTAACATCTTTAACGTCTTAAACTCGTCTAAAATTTTTCGTTTACTGTTTTTATTTTAATTTGTTTTAAAATAAGAAATACAACTGTCATGAAATATCGTGACCTTTTTTTCTGAAAGGAAAGATCATATATGTAATAAAAAAGAAGACACAATTTGTCCCCTATGTTTTTCCTGGAAAAAAAGCATCGAAAAATCTATCAAACAAAAAGATTTTTCGTCTCTCTATGTAATTTTAGATTATTATATTGATATTTCGTTTCGAAATAATTAAAGATAAATTTCTGACAATTTTTTTTCAGTATATTGCTGATTAAACTGGATTCATATTAGACAATTTATGAATCAAATTATTTAATTGAAGTTTAATTTATTATAGATGATTTTGATTCGAATCAATTTACTTCGGTCAAAAAATTGTTTGATGTAAATTGATAAATAATTTATAAGTTATGTAAGTTATATAATATTATTTTAAGAATTTCCAGATAACGATTCAAAGAATTTAATAATTTTTGGCCATGTTGGCCATTCATCTCGAATAATATAATCATATAATCATATAGAAGATTGTACCTGCAGAGCTATGAGTTTGGCTTTTCGCAGAAACAGCCTGTGCACAACTTCCAGAATTCCTGTCTCGACAATTTCCGCAGAACGTCGCATGGGGAGCCGCCGTTGCCAGTCACACGAGTCGTTCTTCCTCCCTAAACGACAGATAAAACCGTATCCTGAATGCAACTCACAAAACATTTAAATATCCATCTTTGAAGGATTTTATCAAAAAAAAAAAAAAAAAAAAAAA